ATAATCATATTTCATATTGAATTTACTTTAATATACGATGTTCGTATGCTTATGATTTGGAAGATAAATGGACAACCCGTGGTTACTGAAATTTTATAAAAACAAAGTATCATAATATGTACCTGGCATGCTTGTCAAAAAATGATGAATTAGTCTTTGTTGACAAATTTATTTCATTTTTTTTTCAGAACTTGAGAGTGGCGAACACGCCCAATTAAAAATTAAATACACCGTACAATTAAAACCACAGTGTCAGAATTGTCAAAACTTATTCTGATAATTTAAAGTGACAGAAGCATATTTACAGTTATAATAATTTACTTCACTTAACTGTTTTTGTTGAATTGCAATATAATTATATCATCTTATCATTAAAAATAACAACAAATAAAATATTTTAAAAAAAATTAGATATGTCTGATTGCATTAGTGATTTTTAACATCTTTATTATAAACACAAAGATAAGAAAAATGAGCATTTGTACCCAAATAAGATTAACAAAGTTCATTTTTTGTCCTTTATATAAAGTGATTTCGTAACAAAGAGTTATTATTATTTTGAAACTCGCATTTCTGCAGCATATTCAATTCCCATGAAATCTTTCATTTAAACCTTTGTATTTGCTTTATGAGTATTGAATTTAGGGCATAATTGTTTTCATCGTAAAATTTCGAGTGTTTGTGTGTACAGTCACTTTCAATCTCTTAAATAAATATTTGACTACTTATATAGACCCATTGATTCTCCCTATCAAATTAATATCTTATTTCAATTTTCTGATGATTCAATTTCTTTATTTTGAATAACCTTTATATCTTTTAAATAGTGTAGATAAAAAATGCAAGCAATTGCTTGCATATGACCTTAGTTGTATGAATCCTAAAAATTATAGTATTTTATCTTGTTTAATAAAAAACCAACAAAATGCAAATGATTTTTTTCAAGTGGTGATGTTTGTTTTTTTATTGTTTTAACCAGAAGATTCGTGCTTCGTATTAGAAAAAAAAGTGCATCGAATGTTTCCTATTTCGATAAAAAAAAGACAAACTACTTGCACATTCCATGCTTGGTGAACACATAAGAAGGAGAATTTCGTTTGTAATGTAAGGCATTTACTTTTTGTTGTCTATCAATAATAAAGACAGTTAAGAAATTATGTATTATATTCTACACTAGCGCAACATTTGTTTTCTAATCAAATGTGTCGTTTAATCTACATATTATATAATTTTATTATTTAGGCGATCTAGCAGTTACTCAGAGCATATATTCTGTTGGTATTTTGTTATGTTATCATCTAGTATGCTTATCTTTTTATCACTGCCTTATTAGAAAATTACGGTTTTTATAATTTAGCGACAGTTAGCTTTTTCGTCAAATATTTCTAAGTCATTTTTATTAATCGCGTTTCGCCTTCATCATGCAAATAGTTCGTCATAATATGAATATATAAACACAACCCAATAACATTGTTCAGAAGAAAACAATAATTTATATTACTTTTATGACTTATTATAAACAGATCTACGTCTGTTTTGTCATGAACTGTGAATAAGCACAAGTAATGAAAAAGAAAGCATTTTGTTCATTTATCTAACCTTTGCCTAAAGTGCATTTTGAAATAGTAACATGTGAACGAATTTCAAAAATGATAGATAATAGGCACATATGCCTCAGAAACGAATATTTTCCCTTCTCTAGAAAGGGTAAGCATCAGTTTTATAACATTCAAAAATGGTCTAAGAGCATATTAGATACTTTTTCACTTAAGGAAAGTAGCACCAAATGTGAAACTTTATGTTGTAAAAGTAACTAAATGTAAATAAAGTAGTATTTTGACATTCATACAAAATACAAAACCCCTATAACTGTACTCATTGACAAAAAGCAAAGAAAAAAGATGAAGATGGTGCAGATAATTTGTCATTGAGTAGCTTTTTGAAAACTACACAGGACGCCAAAGTTAAAAAGCATTTGAGAAATGAATATTGAGGCTTTTCTGGCGAAAAATGGGCCTTTTAGTGAAATAAAAAATGAAATTATAATATTAACTGTACATTAAATGTAACACTGTAACCTCCTCGAAGCAAACGGGATTAGCCTTTTTCCACAAGTATTGAATCAGGACTGCCATCACGACGTGTAGGCTGAATCGGCTTTACACTGCCAATAGCTCAATATTTGTTTTATATATTGAAATCTCTTAACGTTTTATACCAAAACTGTGAGATACGATGTCCATCAATTTGCACTGCGGTTTTGATAACAGCAATTGCTATCTTCAGACTAACTTGTCAGTTATGAATTATTCAACTTTTATACATTAAATATCCTTTCACTATCAAATATAGTCTTGTTAATATAAACATATAGGTCAAAATAAAGTAATGTAGTTTAAATCCTTGACAATGAATCTAGGTTCGACTGCCTGTGTTATCAAAACATTATAATCAAAACATTATTATTGAGATATTTAATTTACAAGTATACGGTTTCCTTGATTTAAACAACTGAACGTGATATTGTATACCTTTGAAATAAAAAGCACATATTTATTGGTCGTGGATGTACTTGAATTTAGACTATTAAGCGGTTCCATTAACTTGTATAAGTTTATTTCCGACAAGTTATCGAAAACAAGATAAAATTAATACTAAATAATACTAGATAATTATTCAAACAGGTGATTATCATTAAGAGACCATTTTAAGGTATCTACAGAAGATATCTAGGAGATAATTTGCTGACAGCAAATATAGAATTAAATCAAGATCACGCCAGCTAATGAAAATGCGTGACATCATCTAATTATTTGCATTATTAAGCCTGTTTGTGGTTCAGGTGTTATTGAGCATATACTCATTATACATATATATAGTCAATGAAACACCTGGTTGAAATATCATAAATGGCTTAAAGAGATTTCATATCTTTGACAAACACTTAACAGTCTTTAGATTCAAGTGGTATGATCATTGGTCAAGAGTCTATTGTCGAATGGTGAACAAAGGTTTGGTATCTTATTCTTAAAGGCACATTAAATATCAAAAACAAAAATATTTTCACTTCTTTACAAAGGGCAAACATGAATTTGATAATGTTTAAATTATGTTTTAGAGGAATATTAGATGCTTGTAACCTGACAAAATTGAATACATGTGAAATAATTTATCATAAATGTAGCAAAATGAAAAATGAAGTATTTTGACTTTTGTTTTCTTCTAGTTTCTTATCAGTTACTAATTATTTATGAGTTTAGTGGTTAGCCTCCCTATGCCCTTGTGTCCTGTCTTGTTTTTGTTTGGGGGTCCTCCTAGGCTCCTTGCTACTGGCTCTTGTTGCTGGGTCGGGTGGGGGTTGCGTTCATTGAACGCCAACTTTCCTTGTTGATCTTGTTTATCATATTCCAAACAAAATACTTATTCACTACAACTGTACTTATTGCCAAAAAAGCAACAGGTGAAAAGATGGTCCCGGTTTGACCAATACGTAATTTGTTTGCATAATATAAAAGTACACAAAAACTAAAAAACTTTTATGTAGCATAGCGTACAATTAATCAAAAGGCAAAATCTTATGTTAATATACATTTAAAATGTTATTGATTCAAAAACGTTCTGGTGCATTTGCATAAAGAACAATTTTAAAGATTGAAGTTGTGATATTCAAAAGCTTTTTTTCACAAATTTATCAAACAGTAAAATATTTTTAAAATTAAAATTTTAAAGATTGAAGTTGTAATATTCAAAAGCTTTATTGACATATTTATCATACAGTAAAATGGTTTTAAAATTTATAGTGCTGCGGTGCATAAACTTTAATTCAATTCAATATTTAGTTATCATATTTCATTTCCTTGTTTCTATAAGGAAAAACTGGTTAATATTGCATTGATTATTGTATCAGTACGTTTTCTAACAAATAAACATATCATTTTTTCTTTTGCGTCAATTTCTGCGAAATTACACAATAAGGTACATAAATATGTCAGGGACAATGTTCATTATCCAAACTAGGTTGTCGGCTTTTCCTATCAGGAGTATGTGGATGTGTGTGTGGGGGTCCATGTCCTTGAGTTATGCTAGTTTATCGATTGTCGTTATCATAAATACATAAAAATGTAAACATGTATTTGATAAGCAAAGTGTATTTGATAAGCAAAGGAATTTTATCAAATAATGGACCTTCTTATCACAATTAGAAAGGATTAAGAACGTGTATGTAAGTTGGACAAAGTTTTTTTATACACAGGGTGTTTTTTTAATGTTTCCAAAATACTGTAAATACATATGCTATATACGAAGATTACAATAAATAACAAAATGTAGATTATTCTACGTAAACACGATGTTTTCATAATTAATATATGCGTTATATATAAGCCTTGCTTTCAATAAAGATAAGGCCAGCCGTCACATCCCAGACCCTATACTGCTGTTAGCTCAATTTTTGCATTTTGAAATTGAAATTTCTAAATTTTTTGAGTGGACTGTTCAAAATACAAACTCATTACATAAGTTTAGCATGTTTTGGGTTAACAATTAATATATCAATGATTTAGATACAGTTTATACGACAGTGCCTCAATTAACAGATAACTTATTGATTTAGTGTCCATTTGTTTTTATAGAATTCTTTGCTTTCTGCAGTATTTGAATGATGATTTTTTCCTTGATTTTTTCTGCTCGCGGTACAAGATGCATTGGACAGCTTATCATTGTTTAACCCCTCTGCTACACAACATGTTTACTAGGATATTATAGAAAAATTTATTTTTCTATGAAATCCCTGTATGACAAATACTATGAACACTAAATTTGTGATTCAATGATATGTTTATAGGCTTTTGAACGTACCTATTAAGTGCAGGCACTTGAAATATATGTCAATATGTTTTATGCAATCACGTACAAACGAGAATGTTTAACGTCCTTAACTGAAATTAAAAGTAAACATTGACATTAAAATCTCACAACCGTTTTGAAATTTTACAAAAAACAGCAGAAATAATGTATACTAACAAGGGTATTAATATATATACAGATAAGCATAATCGGAAATACAGTGTTGCTTTGTTTTAACATTCAATGTCTAGCAGTGACTTAATATTTGTCTGTGAAACTAATATTTATTTGGAATTAGATGAAAAAAGTAATATTTTACGTTAAAATTCGCTGAATAAAGATTTAAACTTGTGTGGTATTCAAGCTTGCAAATGAGCGGTAATATAATGTTTTAATTTTTTGTTTTTAATGTTTTAACTTATTTATGTTTAGATTTTTAAGGTAAATTATGTGATAGAAATGTTTTTTATGTTTTCTTTCTCACAGGCTTTTTATTCAAGGAGTCCTTTTATAGTTTACGAAACGTTACTTATTGGCCAGTTATTTGTTTATGTTGTGTTTGTACTTTGTAATTTACATTGTGTTTCTTTTATGACAAATAACTTCACATTCAGAGCTCTTCAGTTGATGCTTTAAAACCATTATCTAAACTTATTAAATTCATGTTTGCCAATTCTAAGGAAACAATATAAAAATAAGAAAAATCGTTTGGAATTTATGAGATATTATTTTTTTGAGAAGATCTTAAAGCAGCACACTTCCCGGAAAAGCAAAATATAACAGATATTGCACTCCTTGTTTTAAGTAACAGATAAAGCAATAATAATGATTTATCATCATTTAACAGGTGTTTATAATAAAGTAAAAGTAGTTTATATGAAGAGCCGTGAATGATTTTGTTTTGATGTAGAATTTCGTTGCATGCAGAGCTACACCAGTATTGACAAGTGTCAATTAAGAAATTACGTCATTGATAAATTGATTAATTGTAGATTTTGTCAAGATTAGTTTGATAATTTCTCCATTAAGATCACTCAGACTGAGTTCAGGTATGCACAAGGACCTCCCGTGTATTACAAGGTTCTCCATAGGTTATCGCTTTACAATATTAAGATTACAGCTGACGTGATATTTCTTGCCTTTAAGCTTTATAAAACGTGCAGTTATGTTATATGCATTGACCGCATAACATAAAACAAGAGCTGACGAAAACAAAAATGAAGGCCAATATTCGAACTGGAATATTATCAAAAAGAAGTATTTTGGAACACATCTTACCCTTTGTTAACCTGGTTCAACCATTTCATACTAATTTCGGAATGTTCTATGTATGAAGTTATTTCTATCCTTTGCGACATCGTACATGGTTTACCTGTCAATTTGTGTCAGTTTATGTTGGGTCTTCTTCCGTTACTAAGTGACTGACCTTGTTGTGTCCAGAATTTGAACTTATTGATGTCATGTTGTGTGCTCATGGAAATAACACTAAACTATAAACTATAAACTAAAATTATGTGACTGATTTTTTTTCGATTTTTGGTGAAATGTGATGTTTGAATAATCACATAACAAATGGATGACCTCTCCGGCAAATTCAGAAAAAAATGCAAATTAACAGGAAGTAAAGTCTATAGCTAATAAAAAAAGTAAACCGTAGAAATGCAGTAACCAAATGAAATAGCGACATACTGGTGTAATTCATTGTAGCATGTTCATTTTATGACAAAATATTCACGGATGAGAGATTCGAAGATCTTTGTTGACAATACGAGTGATCTGTATTCAGTACTCATCCCTCCCTAAAAATAAAGTAGATCAACTGGATCTATTTAGTCATAGTTTGTACTTGGGCATCAAAAATATTCATAGAATCTTTTAAAATGAACTTTAAATGCGTTCGATTCATTTCGACGACTTACACTAACTTTTGTCCTCATTATTTGCCATTTTATACAAAATTAACAACTACTGAATATCTACATTCTTGAACAATGATAATATATAGGGCATTTCTCACACAGGTGACATGAATAATACAACCAAGATTATTTGCCACAGTATTTAAATAATCTTCGCGCACCTATCTAGTTTAACTGATTATTTAAACCACATTATCAGTATACAATATAAAGGTTATCATGTAATTAACAGGCAATATAATTGTACCGCTAAATGAATCCAATAATTGTAGATTAATTGAGAAAGTGTAAGAAACACCGGCAGATTCTATGTAAATGTTATGAATATTCATGAATAAATGTTGTATACAACTTTGTATATCAGATTAGTAAAATAGTGTGAATACTCCTTTTTAGTTTAGAAATAAGAAATAGATTAGCACGTAGCTATGACATATACTATACAATTTTATAATGTAAAGAACAATAATAACATATTACTTCGGAAGGATAAATTAAAAATAATAATACAAACAGTTAGTTGTTGCAAATAAAGAATAGACATTAAGTGTGTTCGATTCAAGCGCATTTATATAATACTCTGTCTATTTTTTTATTTTGAAGTTTTTTAGTAAACACGAAACAAAACTATTGTTGTTGAAGTGGTAAAACTGTTGAACTATGGTACGTAGTGTGCAAAGGCAGATGTTGACATAATAACTCGGTCGGAATTATCTGTATTTACTAGTGGATTAAAATGTCCGATAAACGGTTCAATGTTCTTTTAATGTTTGCATTTGATTTGTAGTAGTGAGACAAGTTATAAAAAAAATTTTGTTTATTTATTTGATTAGATATTTATCAATTTACTTATTTTCCTTTTAAATAATAAAAGTTTTTAAATGCAAAGGAAGGAATATATTTCAACAGAGACACATTGATGTGAAATAGAATACGTAGATTAAATGGCTAAGGAGTAAACAATCATTTTACTTAACGATTTAAATTGACATTATGCACTTGCAATTGTAAAAAGTGAGTGTCCAACTGATAAAAGCAAAAAAAGAAAACTTCACTTTTGCCGCATTTGTTTAAAGTTTTATATTCTATTTGAAATGAATAGCCAATAACCCACGTGACTCACGAAAATTCTATAAATATCTTTCGGAAAATACCAATTACAATACCAAATACAAATATCATTTATTTTAAAAAAGAGTGGGACAGTCTTTTTATATTTAGGCATTTTTCACATTTTATCTTAAGCATGTTTATTATAAATTTTTGGTTTATCATCATTACTATAGTCAAACATTTCATTATGTACAGTTAATTCAGCTCAATTTGACAGTGTTCAAAGTGTAAAAGTGAACATAATGTAACTTTAATGCAATACAGTAATGGCAAAGACAACGTTTTGATCTATTAAGCAAATATGCAACAGTATGGCGGTCAAAATATGTTTATAGGTCAACTGTAAGTTGAAAACTAGAATAATTAATTACCGTGTACTAAATGATGGCATTCTTATCAAACTCTCAATACACCATTGACTTCTGGTTGCTTTTACTTGAAAATACTAAAGATGCTAGAGGCTCGATGTTACGTTTAAAATTTCTGACTGGTGATATGTATTATTCTTAGAGCTGTATGTACAGTTGCTTTGTAATTAGAATTAAATAGCATAAATATTTGAGCAGTAAAAATGTTTATATGGCTGGTAGATGAACAGCCATCTAGTACTTTGTTGGAACAATAACTTATTTGGAAATTATGCTTTATATTGCAAAACAAACATTTAAAAGGTTTACCCGTGCCATTTATCGGTAAAAGATCAAATACAAATGTATATCTATTCTACATTTGTCAATGGAATCAATGTATTTCAATTCTGAAGTTTCGTTACATTTGATAAGTAAATATCAAGTATTAATTACTATTTGCATTAGTTAATACTAATAGTATATATATTTCTATTCTTATTGTACTTTTCTCTTGTCAAAATGACTTTAATTTTGCACAGAACTGAAATTGCTCAAACGTCGTAAAATCAATAAAAAATGAATATTTGGCAAATAAATGTACTATGACAATATTTGGATAACAATCATTAAGTTACTGTTGTTATGTTATAGATGTCTCGTATGTTATTCTTGAAGCTTTATTTAAAATAAACAAACTCAGGAATGTATATTAACATGTTAAATGCGCATCCTTTGCGAACATTTGTCAACACCAGCTCATTTTTATCATGTGTTGAATTGCTTTGAAATATAAATAGATTGTTGAAATATCCTATTAATCATTTTATTATAGTTTTGAATATTATTATCTAATATCTGATGCTTGCTTGCTTATGAGTGGGACTTTAAAATGGCAACATATGGTTACTGAAATTAGAAGATATAAATAATCGTAGTAGTACCTGACGTTCTTGTCACAAATGATAAATGATGACAAATTTTGAGTATTGCGAACACGCCCAATTACAAATTAAATAAAACGTACAAACGCAGTGTCAGAATTGGCAAAAGTTATTCTGACAATTTATGATGTCAGACTCATATTTACAATAACTGTTGAAAATATTTTCTTATTTTTTTTTAATGTTGAATTGCAATACCGGTATATATTGTGAAAAGAAACAAAACTGTTTTTGAAAAAAGAATGATTTGAATGCATTTGTGTTGGGTTTTTTTCTTGATGTGTTAAACACAATGATAACGATATATGCAAAAAAATAACTTGAAGTTCATTTTTCCCTCCTATATATGAAGCTATTTCGTAACAAAGAGTTTTTTTTCTTTTCAAAATGTTTTGCAGCATTTTCAATTCTCACGATGTCTTATATTTAAACTTTTGTATTTGCTTTATGAGTATTGAATTTAGGGCATAATTGTTTTCATCGTAAAATTTCAAGTGTTTGTGTGTACAGTCACTTTCTATCTCTTAAATAAATATTTGACTACTTATATAGGCCCATTGATTCACCCTATCAAATTAATATCTTATTTCAATTTTCTGATAATTTTATTTCTTTATTATGAATAACTTTTATATCTTTTAAATAGAGCAGGTACAAAAATGTTCGAAAATATGTTCATATACTCTTAGTCTAATAGAAGTGAAACTTAAAATTAAAGGCAAATTTAAAAGTATGATTTTAGCGGATCCAATTATGCAACACACCAAAGTTGATATTTCTTTCGTTATGTAAGGCTTTGTCTTTTTTATTTATTCCTATACTTGAGGCTGTTAAGAAAGTGTGTATTTTATATATTAATCTATCCCGTCAAAGTGTTCTAATCAAATGTGGCGTTTAATCTATACATTGAATAATTTCATTATTTAGTTGTTTAACAATTGAGCAATGCTGGTATTTCATCAAATAATTTATAGCATGCTTCTC